CCCTCTTATCCTCCCTTCCTCCATTGCTCTCCACTGCAGCACCTTGTGGAATGACGAAAGTGTGCTAAGTAGGTGTTTATATAGCCGTTCGGATGTTATCACAATCATGCCATTGCAAAACATTGATAGGGCAAGCCCTGTGAGCTACCCAGATTTGTAGCCTGTTTATTTCATTAGGCCGCGTTCATAGTTCGCGACTCCGGAGATTAGGATAGTACGCGACAATGAAAAACATATGTATTGACGGCGAGATTAGGATAGTAGTAGAGTAGGAGATTGCGCTGACAAGATTAGATACGTATCGATTGAAATCGCCGGAGAGTAGTAGATTGCGATATTACGATAGTAGGATAGTAGTAGAGTAGGAGATTAGGATAGTAGTAGATTAGGATAGTGCGCTGACAAGATTAGATATGTATTGATCTATTCGCTTGAAGTCGCCCAATCTACTACTCTCCAGCGATTTCAATCGATACGTATCCAATCTTGTCAGCGCAATCTCCTACTCTACTACTATCCTAATATCCTGTCGCCTACTATCCTAATCTCCGAGTCGCGAACTATGAACGCGGCCTTAGCTGCCTTATCACTCACTTCATTTTGCGGATGGACAGACAAACAAACTTACACAAATACACACAAACAAATCGACACATCAAGGATACGGTTTATATGATGAAGAGATTCTATGAATCTCACTTCAGCATACCTGTAAACGGCTTGGCTCAAGCGGTCAGATATGCTTTAGCTTAGAAAATTTCTCAGTGCTCGTGATCTTTAGTTCCGTTCATTCTTCGTATTCCTCCCATTTCACTGACATGAAAATAAAAGGGGACAAAAATGCTTTTGACGTCCCATGCAGCGAATGTGAATAAATTATGCATTCTCATTGGGAACACATTTCTTTCTATTCGAAATTCCACAACCATGCCTGCAGATGACTTCTACGTATCGAAAATAAATGACTGGGGTGAGTTTATGTGATTAAACTCTTTGTGCACTGATAGATGAAAATCCTCTTGAGGTGGGGTGAGTGCGCCTGCAAAAGCCCTGCTCCTGCGGCGCCAAAAAAAGCTTAAACGAGCACGGTCGTCAGTGTGTTGAATTAGTTCATTGTTTGAACCCAATAACGACGAGTAAATAATCATATACATAGTTTTATCTGACCGCACAACCTGCTGCTGTGGATACCTGCCCAAGAGAGTCACATCGCTATCAGTTCAAGTATGCTTTTATTGTCAAAACAATTTGTAGCTATGCGAAGATGCTACCTCTGTCAGGTGTGTGATATGTTTCGATACCTTTCAAGATTGATTTAGTTAGTTCTAGTGCGCTGTAAAAACCTCGAACCCTGGTATCGTTCAGGGGATCTTCACAAAGTTTGTTTGTTCATAATTCTTCAAATCCATGCATTTTCGATTGGCCAATTTCTGGAGATCGCCTGCTTGGATCGACACTGTTTGCCATATCCGCCATCTACATCACTACAATGGGATAACTTGAAAAGTTCAAGAGCTATGGACGGCCAATATGAGCTCATGGACGAGATACCTTACGCACACTTCATGACACGCGACGTATATTAAAACATAGCGGCTGATTCAAATACGTGCTGGATAGTGAATTCGTAGCGCAAGCGAGTGGAATCATGGAGCAGGCTAGTTCAGAAAACTCATGAAGATACGCCCTTCCTTCTTCCAAAGAAAAGAGAGAGAGCCCTTGTAAGGGTTTCGTCGACGGTTTGTTTTGCTTTTTTTTATTTTCAATCATTTCGGCATCCGCATTTCCATTACTAACGTTGTTAACCTACCAATTCAATCTGGAGTTGTTGCTCCAAGGACCTGTCGCGCCGGCATGGATGGTTTGCTCCTCGCATAAGCTCAAAAGAATCGGGGGCAACCCTGG